AGGTAAACATACTCGTCACCAACTTCGAGCTTAGTGCTCCCAACAACTACCGGCATAGGTGTGACATGGACATTAAACATGATCTTTGTTTTGTCCATGTTAATCTTAAGACCTATTCGTTGGGAGACACTACTGAGGTCATTGAGCATGGTGCTTAGATCCTCCAGTGATTTTGCCATAAGGACTCTATCGTGGGCAAATCGTAGGTGAGTGATGTACTCGCCATTGATGGTAATACCGCATCCTTTACAGTCCAGAAGCTTAAAAACGTCTTCCAATGCAGCGGTGGAGAGTTTCGGGGATATAACGTCACCCTGTCTTACACCTCTCTGCAATTGGATAGGTTTCGTACTCTGGTTCACAGAACATACAGTAGGGCTACGATGGCTATCCGAATCTGTACTCGGATAGCCATCGTAGCCCTACTGTACAAACACTTCAGCACTTCGATATACCGACAGTCAGCTTGGCATCTCTGAAGGGACTGCAGCACCGCCCAAATTTGGGTTTTGGAGGAATGCACAGCTCTAGAGATATCCTCATACATTTCCTCCACCTCCTCATCAGGGTGTGCCGAGGTTGGTGCGTAAACCTGTATGACCTTTAGCGAATACCGTTTGGTAATTCTGAGTATAAGGCACGCAACCCTCGTCGACACACTCCCAATCTTTACAACGTTGTTAACGAGAGACTTGTGGAGGATAAATCCGACACTTCCTTGGGACAGATGGTTGCCCTCACGGTGATAGAACAAGTTGCCGGATTCGAGGATTACCGTGTCTACCCCCTCTCTTCGGACCTTGGATAATCCAATCCAATGATATTCCAATACAACTTGTCTATCTCTTCTTCCAGCTCCAGGATCTTCTCGTCAGTCCTCAGGGTGCGTGCGTTATAAGTTGCCAGGTCGAGTCGTCGTAGGTGGCAACCGAACCTCCACCGGAGATTCTTAGCACCACCTGCCCCGCCGTTACTATGGTCGCCACCGTAGCCAGGAATAGCGGGGCTGCTGGGGACTGGGGGCCTTCTTTTTGTAACATTTATCATGGGGGGTATATTGCCATAGTTGCCTCGCTTCGCAAGCGGGTTGGCAACCGCAGTTTTTTTTAATTGTTGTTTTGCTGTTCGACATCAGAAAGATGCTGCTACCCATCCTCTGCCTCAGTTTCCCTCTGTCGCCTCTTACGACATCGGGAAGATATGGGGTAGTGAGTATTCTTACCCGCCTCTACAGGGGGGGGGGGGGTGCAATTATTTAATTTTAATTAAATATTTTACATTACGAATGTATTAATATTTTACGTACAAACCAATACCAACAAAGAAAGAAAGACATTGCGTACAGTAACGCAAAAACCAAGTCAAGAGCTTGTTCAACTTATTGTAAGAACGCGCATGTATGTACACTTATGCATTTAAAATCATACAAATGTGTGCGTGTTCAAATTGTACATATGTGGGCAGCTGTGGGCTTATAAGCCTTTTCCTTTCTTTAACAGTCTGTACAGTCTGTATACAGACTGTTAAAGAAAGGAAGAAGGAAGATATGTGCGTGAATGCATGTCAAGAAGTTGAACATGGCTTCGGCGTCACTTGAAATGTACGCAATGTTTTTCTTTGTTTGTTTGTCTTATTATGTAAATATAAAATATTAGTACATTCATATTTTTTGCTGTGCGTTTGATATTACGTTTATTCTGATAAGAAAGAACTATGCCATCAAAAACATAACTTGTAAAAAAAAACCAAGTCTCGTAACTCAGTTCTTCTACCGTAAAAAGTTGTGAGATCCATGTATTTTTTTTATAGGACAGGGTGACAAACGAGCACACAGTCCACCTGATGGTAAGTGGTTACTGTGACCCATAAACATCTACATCTATCCTCAATAAAGACTCAAGATGCAGATGCGTTCTCACCCGTGAGGACTAAGATGGAATGCCTCTTTGCCAGTAAAAAGGATCTCCGGTTCTCTACACTCACCATACGAAACACAGCAGCGTTGAGCTGCTCTTTTACTCTGGTTTTCTGTGGGAGCGTGATCCTTCCTCGGTCGAGCCGACCCATTCGTGCTACAACTATACTACTAATATAGCTGCAGCATGGCTCTACTACGTAAATGTAAATGTAATACCAAGTTGGTTAATTTATTCAGTCCCTCTGAAGGGTCCTTCTGTCTTAAGTTATTACGTAATTAGCTAACCTAACAACATCGTATAGTGACTACATGAATATTAAAAATCTTTTATATTTTAAATAAATAGATTGACTTGGCCATCGCATGAAAACACAATGTATCTCTCAAGTAATACATATTATATTAAATTAGATTGTTTAGTGAGATTGCCAAGTCAATTTATTTATTTAAAACATAAATGATTTTAATATTGATATGATCTACACCTATTATTCCATTATATTATATATATATATATATATATATATATATATATATATATATATATATATATGTATACTGATTCATTCACTGCAAATGTAACTTTGTAATCCTATATATTTATATGGGATTACAAAGTTATTTATGCAGTTGGTGTATCTCGAAAAGTGAACCGAAATTGCAAAATATTTTAATTTTTCCTAGATTTATATACTAAAAAATAATTGTATTCCAAATTTGAAGCTTCTATGTTTGCTAGAAGTGCCTTAGAGTTTTGATGATCGCTCAGTCAGTGAGTGACAAAATTAAGAAACTTTGACTAGTTATAATTCTAAAACTACTGGTTCAAATTTAATAAAATTTGAAATATACCGAGTTTATACAATGTCTACTTGGTAACTGAAAGTTCAGGCTTCTAGTTTTATCTACAACGAAGTTATAGGGTTTCAAATAAGGCTTGAACTGCTTCGAGAAAAGGATGGTACGGCCGTGCCGCTTTTTTGCTCGACTTGGCGGGGGCACTGCCGTGCCCCCAGATTCGTGATTGGTAGCAATAAATTAATGTTGTATTTTTAACACACTTTTATTGGTCCATATCGATCCTACGAGCTATGTAACGGAATTTTTAATGTAATCTTCATCAACCTGTAAGTGGCCGATTGTCTTGAAAATTTGCACTCGTATCAAGAACCGATGACAATACAATAATTAAATTAATTTTATCCTACTCCTGATCCTGATCAAGATCACCAGGATAAAATAAAATAATTTTATTTTGTCTTTAAATAATTTTATCTTTAAAAACTATAGAATCATCTGTAGTTTAGCACGCCTCATAACGCGAAGCGTTATTAGGTAGTGCTTTACTCTGGACACGTCAAAGTCAAGCAATTTTGGGTTCTTAAAATGCCTCTAGTATAACAATATTGCACTTATACGATAATATGAGTAGCCGTGTATCAAGAAAACACTCTAGTTAATCCATCTTATATTTTCTAAAAAAAAATCATTTTATATTGCTTCTTTAAAAAAACGCTTTGAAAAAAAATTTACGTGGATGTTCGGATGTTGATTTTGTATGTGGTCACATAACTCCCGAAAAAATTTAAGTATAGAGACCGGGTTTTTTTTATTAGCTCCAGAATTACATCAACTGGTTCCCTATTTCATATCAATAGCCTAGTACGCGTTTGTCAATGACATGATTTTCAACTTTTATAAGTTTTATTGATATTAAAAATTTAAAAGCGCTTTCATAATTTTTTAGGTCTTGATAGACAAAGGAAAATTGTACCATACAACCTATATCGATTTTATACTTTGTGTAATCGATTTATTTTGGTAAACATTATTAATTTTTTTCCTGTAGGAGACACTACCTGTTACAATAATAGATCGCTAAATTTAAAACACGTAAATAATATAGAACAAAATTGATACAATTTTTTTTAATCAAAATTAAATGAAACGCTTATGAGGCGTGCACTTTTGCATTTTCCAAAGTATTTTAAACTATAATTTATCGCTTGGAGAATAAAAAAATCAAAACAATAGAGTATTTTTCTCAATTAAGATTATTAAAATAAAGATTATTGAATGAAGAATTTAGAAAATAAAAGTCCTTGAGAGTTATTTAATTAAATTATAAATAATTTTTCATGTGATGTGTAGTGTTTTCGAGCATAAGCTTTTAAAATATATATTATGTTTGCAAAGCTTAAGCTTATGCCTCAAGGGTTCGAAGCGAGTTACTTAAATCATATTTTTATGGTTAAAAATAACTTTATATTTATTACAGAGCTTAATTTGTATTAAAAGTTTTATCATTACTTTACGTTTTTGCTGTTTATTAAATTCAAAATTTTATTAATAAATTTTACATTAGTATTAATTTATTCTCATAAATATTTACTTTTATGTTTACTTTATGTTTTATCGTATAGTGGCGGTGTAACAATATCAACTAACCCATATTATCCCGTGCGTGTCATAAGAGGCGACAGAGGGAAACAAATCAGGAGATGGGCAGCAGCGTCTTCTTAATAACGATTAAAAATAAAAAAATTGCGGTTGCCAACCCGCTTGCCAAGCGTGGCAAATATGGCAAATATTCCCCCTATGAGGTGTGTGAACTAGTGGAATTTAGTGGGCTGTAACGGTTACGTTACGTTTTTAAGTTTTAAGTCTCTTTTATCGTTATAAATTTTTATATCTTAGTGTTTTAAAGGAGTAATAAAATAAATAATAAAATAAAAGTATAATATAAAAATAAATATATTTTTTTATAAATAAAAGGAAATATAAAACTATAAGGTCGGTTTTATTATAAATTAAATAATAAAATGACTTATAATCAAAAGGAAATAAATAAAATGACTTATCACCTATTATACACAATACAAACTTTGCGCTACATGGAACAGCAAATCACCATTGTGAATTACATTAGGTACAAAAAGGATATATAAATACCCTACACATCACGCATGGCTAGAAGTTTGATATTAACCGATACCAGTCTTACAATAGCGTCCATAACACTCGGTATTGTACAAAAGAACTTATAAGTAATATCACTTTTTACGACCCTCTTAACTGGCGTTCACTTGCCGAGCAAGATTTTGCGGCCAGCGCCCATGTTCTGGCCAGACTGGGTGGCACCCTTGTTGGAGCCAGCTTGTAAACCAATTACAGTCTGTCCAGCCTTCAGAACTTCCTCAGAGAAATCACGCTTGCATTCTTCAGAAGGCTTAGGTCCGAGGTAAGGTCCGTTCCATTCAGGATGCCTGTAGGTCTAAAAGAGAAAAACAAATAAAAATAAAACAAAAATGTCCGGCCTCTTCTAAACTGTGGCATTGGATGTTTGTGAGAAAAGCGAGGTAATGTTACACAAATGTCGTAAAACATAGTAGAACTTGGCAAAGTTTCAAGATTTCAAATCCAAACGTAGGAGTCATATAAAGCAAACATTTTATAAACACGTTTCAGTAATACTAATCGTTATTTTTGTGCATGTTTAAATTACGTGACGTCCGGTATTGCTTACGATAAATAGCTAACAAATTTGTCGTGTTTTTATATGATTACATGTACGAGTTATTATTTTATTAATGATTTTGAAATGTATAATTCATTGATTTGATTTAGTTACTTTTATTATTAGTTATGGAATAGAGGTCTTGGGAGATTTTTTACGAAACCCCTGACGTTAATTGTACCGATTTTAATGATTTTGTATTATTTATTAAAATACATATTGTTTATAATCATAATTACCTCACGGCCGAGGGCGAACAGTGTGCTAACAACTTGAGCGATGTCTTTCTTCTCCCACAGATCCACAGTTTGGAATACGTCGATGTCAGGAACACCGTATGCTTTGATGGCGCTTTGGAAGCTGCAATTAGTTATAAAAAATTAAAAAAAATGTGCGCGCTTATCTTGTACTTGAGACCAAAAATGGTCGAAACTGTTAATGTTTTAAAATAATTTACATTTAAATTTTAAACATTACACTAATGCGAGTAAATTACAATTATTTTTAACTAATCGTGTCCAGTTTAACCATGTGTATCATGACTATAGACGTATACTTCTACTTACTTGGTGATGTTCTCCATCATTTTGAATTGACCACCAGAGGTGTTAATTTTGGACACTGAACCAGGTTTCAGCTTGTTAATAAGTTGACAAAGGACAGTTCCATCCTTGAGAACATCCTCAAACTGTTCACCAGGGGGGAATTTAGCGCCTAAAACTCCCTCGATCCACTCCTGGGCTTCCTTTTCTTGTTCAGGGTTGCGCTTTGAAGCAAGCTGAAAAATTTATAATGTAATTAACCTATTGGAAATAATATGTTAACTGTCTTATTGCTGTTATCAATATTAAAAAATAAATAAGTTGTGAGCCATTAGCGAGGTGGAAACGAGATATTTTTAAATTGTGTTACCTTGGCGCGGACTTGACGTTCCAGAGACATGTTGTGTGTTGTGTATGTGTCTGCTTGCGAGGGGTGATTTCGCTTCAGATAGCACTGCGAGACTGAACTCCTGAAAGCCGAGTCCAAGTATTTATAGAGCGCGCGCAGGTTGCGCCCTTCTGGAAAACTCAAACGCAGACATCGCGTCACTCGCTGACCGTTTTGCTACTAATAAGCTTCTGACTCAATAGCCTTTTTCGAAGTTACTACGTTGAGAGTATTTGAAGGAAACATTTACCAAAATTCCTCCAGACTATTTTCTGATTCTACAATCCCCATAGAAAATTAGACAGAAAGGTAAAACTCGAAAATAAACAATTTTAAGGAAATTTGCTTTTTCTATAAACCCTATTCCTTCAAATCTTCTCGAAATTTATTGATATTCTTATAAAGGTAATATTATAATATAATTTTTCTAGAATACTTAAATTTCTTTTGACACTTTTTAGTAGAAGTAGTAGCATAATGGAGTGTTATGGAATAGGAATTTGCTAACTTTTTCTCCGTAGATAACCTCATTTGCTCGAAGAGCAGTCAACTGACTAACGCACGAGGCTCTGACGACCGATTGATAAAGAGAAATGCATCCAAAAACACTAAACCCAAACCTCATAAACTGATAATGGGCAGCATTTTTACCACCTTATTACGAGGTCATCAACTTTGCTCTCTTAATCCACCTGTCAAACGTTTTAAGACAATACTTCCAAGTAATGCTCGTCAGCTGGCGCATTCGTGGAAAATCCTACATCCAACAAAATACATAAAATGTAGACGTGAATAGGAAAATATTTGCCGGTACAATACTTTAATAACCATTGCTCGATATATTTTATGTTCTGTGAACAAAAATAGAAAAAGATTGCGATCTTATAACGTTCGGAAATTCTCTCATTTATCATTCAAAGTGATTCTTTATACTAGATTTTTTTAATAATATTCTTTGAATTCACCTTTATTTTAAGAACCATAGTTCAAACAATTTCATGGTTTCCTTATCATTGGACCTTTTAAATGAAATAAATAAGTGTGTATTATAATAACTTTATATAGTTTAATATATAATAGTGTCATCTTGTACGTGGTAGAGCCATGCTACAGCTATATTTGTAGTACAGTTGTATCAGGAATGAGTCGGCTCGACTGGGGAAGGACCACGCTCTCACAGAATACCAGCGTAAAATAGCAGCTTAACGCTGCTGTGTTTCGTATGGTGAATGTAGAGAACCGGAGACCCGTTTTACTGGAAAAGAGGCATTTCATCTTAGTCCTTACGGGTGACAACGCATCTGCATTTTGGTCCTTTATTGAGGATAAATGTAGATGTCTATGGGTCACAGCAACCACTTACAATCAGGTGGACTGTGTGCTCGTTTGTCACCCTATCCTATAAAAAAAATGATTCAGGGGAAAAGCGCAATACTGCGCTAGTAAACTAAGTTCCACTTAACTTGATCTGCCACCGATGTTGCAATTTCAAGTGCTGATTTGTCGAGTGCGTTGTTCGACGTAAGGAAGCGTAAGGAAGTGAGTTCTCTCTACCAGTCAAACTTAAGGCTTAGGGCAGTGATATAACTCCGAAGGCGGTTACAGAAATTATAAAATAGAGAAAAATAATACAAGAATGAAGTAACGATAATAAATATAAAACATACACATACCTACATATAAATATAAACACAATAAGATAATATTGCTGATTTAAATGATAATTATAGCTTTTAACAAAAAGTAAAAACCTACTTCAAATTGTTAAAAAAGAAGTTATTTATTTGCTACCTTTAGGGGTGTAATTTTTTAACCAAATTCGTATGTAAATTTATATTTAATAAAAAAGAATCATCAAAATTGGTTCACAATCTGCGAATACATATACCATGCGTAACATACGTACAAAAAACATGCACTCGAATTGAAAACCTCCTCCTTTTTGAAGTCGGTTAAAATAGAGATAACTGTAATGATGACTAAACTAAGTAGTTTGAACCATTTCCAGAAAATGAGTCCGAACTTATGACGTGAATATATTATGCTTTTCATTTGTACCTTAACTGTACAGCGCATTATACGAGAATTTCCTTGGGGGCGGCCAATTTTCCGCCCACCATGCTTGTTTGTATAATCGTTAGTTTTCATTGTCGCCGATACTCAGGCGCCGCGGACAGCGCTATACAATGATAATAGTTTGAATTTTCTGCTAACATACAGGTTGAGATCACACATGATGCGGCATATAGGCGTGTATTTCCGATGTTCTGTGCGGCTACGGGCTGTGTAGAAGAAGTTGTGTCTGTGAATATACCTATGGCGTATACTAGTTTTGTTTTGTTTCTCTTATTATAGTGTTAGAGGTTAGAAATTTCGGAATCGGTACAGGTAGGCAGCTCCCTTTCAGCTATTTCTATCACTAAGCTTTTACGCACGTACGATTATATTCTGGTTAGTAAATACGTAGTAGAGCCATGCTGCAGCTATATTAGTAGTATAGTTGTAGCACGAATGGGTCGGCTCGACCGGGGAAGGACCACGCGCTCACAGAATACCAACGTAATGTAGCAGCTTAACGCTATGTTTCGTATGGTGAGTGTAGAGCACCGAAACCCGAAACCGAAAACCGAACTCCGAAACACATTTCATCCGAGTATAGAAAACTCATGAAAGATCCTCCTATGTACGGTAGTATAACCATCTCGTTTATTACGTCGCAGCTAACTAGCTTTAATCAGCCTTTCAGTTAACAGCGTAATCTATTTACTAAATGGCGCCGTTCAACTAAACTGTCCCGTTGAATGAAATTAATAAGGTGACCATTCCACGTAATATCGCTAGTCTGTGCCTAATTATACGATATGTGCTATATATTATATACTAACCGTGCGGTTAAAGAATGGGATTGAAAATGGCGTCGCACCTATTCACCTCTCGCTCGCACACAGTCGCTACCTATACTCACACCTCGATATGCGTTTTATGTACGTTCTTTAACTTCAGTCCACCTTGTCATTGGAATCAATGATCACAAAATGCCATAAACTACAAAAATCAGGCCGGTTTCGCCAATTTTTGAGCAACGACGCGTTCTTGAAGTGTTATTCATAACTATTGTTGATTTTGTTTGTTAATATTTTTGTATAAAATATTTACATGCAATTGACACATAAGTAATCATTTTTAACAATTTCGTTTGTCTGTGTGAGCTAATCTTCTGAATGGCGGAACCGATTGTACGTATAACTTCACGAGCAAATAAAGGGTAATACCAGGAGTGATCTAGGTTAAATTTTATAAAATTTAATCTAGATCACTCCTGTTAGTTAATTATAAATATTATTTTAAAATTAATGTATCTACTTGCATATACCATTTTTTCAAAAATTTCCTCATTAATAGAAAATTTCCAATTAACCGAATAATATAACGTTATAACGATAGACCGTTATTAGCGGGTTTTCACTATTGGTACTGTGCATGCTGACGATACGGGCGACATGAACCGCCATTTCTAATCCCATTATTTATCCATATGGACTGTAAATGTACGCGGCTTTATGGTGACCCCGCCCCAGCCGCACCAGCCGCACCGCGCATACTGTCGCTGATATTACAAGATAGGTGCAATGTTGTATTAGACGCTTAGGCTGAATATTATTCGGCCGTTAGTTGAACGACGCCTTTTAGTTACAAGGTTAGGCTGTTAACTAAAAGGCTAATTAAGCTAGTTGGCTACGACATATACATATAAATAAAATTGAAGTATCTGTCTGTCATATTGAAATAACTGGTTACGATTAAGTTCAGGAGGTATTATGCATGCTATTAAGGCATTGATAACTATTCTTAAAAATTATGTCTGTCTGCCTGTCTGCTGGCTAATCTTTGGAATGGCTAAACTGATAATGCTGTAACTTTACAAACAGATAGCAATGCTAGGAAGGATCTAGGCTACATTTTATCTGAAAAATTATATTAATTTTTCTGAAAAAAAAAACGAAAAATGTAAAAACAAAGGATTTTTGATTATCTTAATTTTGAATAAAGTCACATTAATAGATCCTATCCAGGTAAAGCTGGGGCGGGTCGCTAGTGAGACATGACAGATGATGAGTAGAAGCGTCAAGAGTGTAAGATGTGTAATACTGCGATCGCAAAGATGCCTGCCAGGCGTTGCCAAGCGATTAAAACAATTCCTCCTAAACAGAAGAGGACCATAACCAGGAGAATAATTATCAAATACAGATAGAAGTATTATCAAAAATATCTTGACGATTGCTGTAGTGTGTGCCCTTGCATTATCTATATAAATAAAATGATAGAGGTATACAGTTGTGCGCGCATCACGGAAAAACTACTGGATAGATTTCAATTAGGTTTTCTAAGTTTTATTTCTTAGACACTTGGTCCTTATCTAAAAAAAAATATTGTGATATCTTCATTTAATATAAAGTTATTAAAGTTTTAAGAAACAACGATTTTTATACGGGGTTTTTCACACGGTTAACTGTACGAGTACGTCGCTTGCTCTCGCGGTACCAACCTAGGCAATTTATATATTTTAGCTACAAACGGAGCAACGAATAACATCGTTTACAAATTTTTTTTGATGTTTTTCCTTCGCACATACGAAAACTTTGTTAATATATCAAGCAACGCGGACGAAGTTACGGGTATCAGCTAGTTATGCAATAAAATTAATTCATCGCCTACAAACCTAGCATATGGCGGCACATGAGTCTCTATGCTTAGTTTAGTATTTTATAAGTACTTAGTTTAGAATTTTATAAGTACTACAGCCACACTGAAGCTATATTATAGTTGTAGCATAAATGGGGCGGCTCGACTGGAGTAAGTCCACGTTCTCACAGAATACTAATGTAAAATAGCAGGTTAATGGTGTTGTGTTTCGTGTGGTGCGTGTAGGGAACCGGAGACCCTTTTTACTGGAAACAAAGCATTTCATCTTAGTCTTCAGGGGTAACAATGCATAGCTGCAGTTTAATTCTTGACCAATGATAAATGTAGATGTATATGGACTACAGCACCCACTTACCCTCAGCTGGACTCTGTGCTCGTTTGTCACCCTTAATAGACAGTAAAAATAGTAAATTCATATTTGAAATAGCAGCATATCAAAATAATAGTGAACATGCTAACTTCAAAACTGCTTGAAAAACCTTTACTTTGAACCACCGCAAAATTTGTGTTTTGTTATTTTAACATTGAAATGCGGATGACTCGATTTAGGTATCCGTGAGAGTAAATAGTATTCCGAGCTATGTCTGAGCTCTCCCAAAAGTTCATATTATGTAACTTCAAATTCACCGGAAATATTAGATATTTTGTTTTCAAATTTTAAAGTGATGAAATTTCGACATACGTGAAACAAGGTAAAAAAATAGAGCTCTGAATACATTATATATATATATATTATATACCCATACTCTTTCTTACTAAAACATTTTCTTCTTGGTGCAGATATGTACATATATATTACGTACCGACATTACCTGCAATATAAAAATATCAAAATGACATCACGTAGACAGTCTTGCCAAATTTTAATAACATGTTCTATAATTGATCAAAACTAGCATGACGTGCAAATGTGATATATTTTAAGCCATATCAAAATAAGATGGTATATATACGTTAATTTTTTTTATAGGATAAGGGTGACAAATGACCACACAGTCCACCTGATGATATCCACCACCCGATGACGAATCAAAATGCAGATGCGTTGTCACCCGTGAGGACTGAGATGGAATGCCTCGTTTTAAGTAAAAAGGATCTCCGGTTCACTACACTCACCATACGAAACACAGCAGTGTTAAGCTGCTATTTTACGCTGTTGTTCTGTGAGAGTGTGGTCCTGCCCCGGTTGAGCCGACCCATTCGTGCTACAACTATACCAGTAATATAGCCGAAGTATGGCTCTACCAAGTATAAAAATTATGTAATATCGTCTGTATATGAATAAATTATTATTAGTTATAATTATGAAGAACTGAACTTAATTTTAAATGATCCAATACATACATGATAATCTTAAATAGACTTTGATACCAGTACTTAAAAATTTTAGCTTAGTTTGACTTTTTAATTAGAGTATTAACTTTTAATACAACAGTTAACAGGTTTGTTGACAAGTACGCAGTCAAAAAATTAACAAAAGGTAGTAATTGTATTTTTTTTTGTTTAAATATAGAAACATACAATGTATTAATGTACCAATACAATGCACCTACACTAGACTCAAAGAGGTTTCATTTTCCATTATGTTAATTTGGCAATAATTTTCGTAGAATTTTAGGGATCGTATTTTATCAGTCAATAGATTTACTACGTATATTGTCATGTTATAGACACTTCTCAATTCACCACGCGTGTCTTACATAGTTGGGCATGATTCACTCCGACGTCTGTATTAGTAAATAACATCTTCATATTTGTAACACACCCAAATTTAGATGTATATGCACTCTACCGCTGGCGATGCCAGCTGCTCTACGTGGTGGTGGGTGCTTACTTGTTCTTATAACAATGAGTTCATGATAATTTTAAGTATTTATGTATTCAAGATATATTTCACTTATTTAATATTTAACATATAAATCCATCATTTATATTATGATTAACGTAATTACAAGACCTTAATAAATCAATTATTATGATTTGAAAGATTGTGTATTTTATGAATTTATACAGTAGTGAATGGCAATGGCAATGGGCCGCCCATATAGCTCGAAGAACCGACAACCGATGGGGAAAAAAGGTTCTTGAGTGGCGGCCTCGTACCGGCGGACGAAGTGTAGAGCGTCCCCCCACTAGATGGAGTGACGACCTGGTAAGACATGCAGGAAGTTGATGGATGCAGGTGGCTCAGGACCGTGCTTTGTAGCATTCCTTGGGGGAGGCCTATGTTCAGCAGTGGACTTGTGAAGGGCTGTAATGATGATGATGATGACAGTAGTGAATTGATTGGTTTTTTGTTCGACTTTCATATCTAGAGAAATTAGTATTTACATTTTATTTAAAAGTCGAAATATGGTGTGATTATCCTGTATTATTACCGGTTACTGGTTTACCGATGTTCCATTCTGTTTGTATCGACCTTCACCGGACTTCACGGTACCGATTAATCGTTAATAAGTATTTTGGTTACTAAAAATTTCTGCGAATGTAATCTATTGTGGATTGGTATACAGATCGTGTAAACCAGCCCCATCTGCCCCTGACTGCCCCGCTGGTCTAGTGATGTAAGCGTGACTGAGATTTTATGAGTTTACATGAGTATTTCCGCCAAGGAATTCTCAGTAGCTGCCCAGAGTCAGAAAGTTGGCGGTGTCTCACCCCCGTGCCTCGGAAAGCACGTAAATCTGTTGTCCTGCGCCTGATCTCTCTCCGGTTGTGTTGGCTTACCGTCCCATACGACTACGACAGTCAGGGAATAGAGAGCGCACCTGTGCTTGCGCATACACTTGGGCACTATTATCCTGCCCGGCGCCGATGGCTAGTCTCCGTTAAGGTTTGCCGCCGTGATCGAAATTCGATCTGGCCCCCAACACATCTGTGCAATTTTAAATTCTAATTTACTAAGTGCAAGCGGTGGAAGTATCCCATTCTGAGAATTAAAATATTACAAGGATATCTGAAGTCTGCCAACAGAAAATAGAGCAGCTCGACCTATAGCTCTCTCTCTTTCTCTCGGAAATGAGAACTGTGAAAGGATCAAGTACAGACTGTCACTCTATAAGGCTTAAGGCAAAACATAATAGGTAATAGAGACTTACAGCATAAAGTTAAGATTGAAAGTCAATTCAGTAATCTCTTTATTAAAACACCCTCCACATACTCATCAATAAAGTTACATACACCCAGGGTACAATACTATGACGAATGATACATATGTACATTTATATATTACATCACATATTTACAATATTGTTCACACTCCAGTCCGCCATTCGTAAATACTGAACAACAATTTCAAACGTACTCGTATTTCATAAAACATAAATAAATTATTTACTTACTTTAAAACGTTAATCACACAAAAGGATTTTCGACTAGATAAAATATTTGGTACATTGCTACATCTTATCACAAAATAATAATATCTTCGAACACAATGGAATGTGAAAATGAAAAGTAAAAAACTAACTGAAATTAATTAGAACTAATTTAAGATAACGTATACGATTTTTTATTTACATCGTTGATTTTCACTCAAAATCTCGTTTACTACAATGAAATTGTGTAACAACATTTTATAACTTTTACTACTTGTGAAAGTAATACCTACTGTAAGATGTCTTCAAAATAAATATATTTTGTTTTATATTGCAACACTTCATCTTATCTTCATGCACATGGAATTGTCCCTTTATAAATAAGCCTTAACTATTATTACCTAAATTATGGCATATCTTTTAATACATTTATGTCAGCCGTTTTGTTATATTAAGTACATGTAAAATTTCGTTTGCAACGTATATATTGCATTTACTACTTGTAATGGACACTTGGCACTTAGAGTTTTTCTTCATTTTTCAGTCCGATGATTATAACGATATTATGTTACATAAAATTCACTTTTAAAGTCCACTTATGCATTTAAACATGATTGTCACATAAAATACAAGGACGAGTAACTGTGTGGTTGATTTGGTGTTTGGAAACCTGTGGCTCTCAGATCGACCTCGTTGCAGTCTGGCGTAGAGATAGCCGAGTGGTAGAGGCGATGCTACGTCCATTAGAAAAGATGATTGTTTGTTTTAGCGAGAGTTCCAAGATGATCGGAAAGTAAGTAATTGGGTGGCGCTACGCCGAGCAGAGGGAAGCCTGAAGGTTGGCGCAGGAGGCCGCACCCGCCAGCCCATTTCCCGCCGCTGGTGCCGCTCACCGGGGGCATACCACCACCTCCTCCCACGCTGCCCACTCCATTCAACTCCTCACAAAGCTTATTCGCTGCAAAAACAAATGCAGCATAAAACAGTGTACATCACAAACAAACACGAGAAATGAATTCTACGGCTATTTAATTTAGTGATTACCACACATATATAACATGTATGCGCATAGCACAATGCCAAATGAGCTCGCCTATAAATTTCCGCATTAAACTCGACCGAAAATCGTGCAGTCAAATCTACTTGAATATAAAATGAAGCTGCAGTTGGACAGCTCTACGCGAAATAATCGTGGTAACGCAATTAAGGCTAATCACCTAATCCTTGCCGCGCGGTACGTTGTTTATTCAGCCTGAGTGACAATCCCGTGCACAATTAGCGCAAATGAGCCGATGTGAAAATCTGCCCGCGCTAGCTGTGGCGGCCGAGGTGTAATTTAATTAATGTCGCCGCTGGTTCGCCATTATCTAGCCTCGAAGCCTACCGCGCTCCAAGCAACCTCTCACCGTACCACCTGTACCGAATTACTAATACAAAAGACTATTAAAGCTTACTATTTCGTTACATTATTCACGTTCTGCAAATGAGTAGGTAATTAGAATAGACGCTGTAGGAAAAATATTGGTTTAGGTTCATGATCAGTAAGAGATGGTAGCCGCATGATAAGGAATAGAATAATAAGGAATGGGATTTAAAGGATAGGATAGGCTGGTACAAGTAACTAATATAAGTTCAAATAAGCCATTTGACTACTGTTGTAAATCACTTCTAACACAAACTTTTTGAGTTTATTAGAAGTGGTTGACGCTTAGAGTAAATATATATTCCATGAAAAAAAAAGATAGATAAGTATTTAGATTAGTACGGTTAGGTTCAGATGGACCAATTCACATGGCAAACCTATTGGTTGAGTTTAGATATTTTACGGGGACCGTAATTGTGGCAGTATTATGTAAATAATATAATATAATAATTTTTGAGGTTTGATAGGTAAAAGGTCGTTATTTATTACATAATAAGCTAAAATGTGCCGATGCCAATTATTTCAAATTAAACTTAATTTTATGTTCGGTCAACGTTCAGCAGTGGCCTTGTGATGGATATATTGTATCCATCACAAGGTCAACATTCCCTATGTTCTGTGTGACTGTGATATAATGGGCTGTGATGATGAAGATGATGATGATACATTTAAAAAATAATGTTATCTCCAAAAGAAAATGTTACTATATTTTTAAATGTCGCCACGAGCTTACGAGCAAAATATGGCCTTCTTTTGTTCTTGACCTAATTGTTAATTTTATAATACGATGTTTGGAAACAGTAAGTGCTCTCAATGTTTTAACGCTGTACTCGAAACATACACATATGTTGTAAACAAAACACAATGATATGGATTTAAATAAAAAAGGTTATTAAAATTATTACAATAAAAGAGTATCTGTAAAAATTATCAATATTTGAAAATACCTATTGATAATTGGATATCGTCTAAATAAAATGTAAATTATTTATTATACTAAAAATGTATTTAGGTTTAGCCTTTAAAAATGGACAAATTTATAGGAACTCAAAAAAAGAGGTTTAATTTCTCCTGTTGTTATTATCGTGCGTACTGGTCACAAACATTAGTAAATGCTATACGAATTTCATTTGTTTTTATGTAATTATTGCGTTCTTTATATTTCGAAAAGTGGTAAAATTTTTGATTTTTAGGTTAGGTTATTTTTAGGTTAAATTTTAGATTATAGGTTTTGAAAGTTTAGGTTTTATTTAAATTTTTTGGCTTGACTGCCTTGTTTATCGTGTCAAATGTGAATTGTTATTGCCAATAAACTGTGAATTCCCGATCTATATGTCATTCAAGTTGCTAGGGCTGCTACTTTAATTGAAACTGGGCACTCCTACAAACATGTGGCCCAAATATTATGAATATCAAAATCTGTGGTACACCGAGTTGTCAAGAGGAATCGGCAGACCGGATAGTATAAGAGATTAGCAGGATACAGAAAACTGTGGCCACAGATGACCGGAAAATCGTTACCAGCGTACTTAGAAACCGGACTTTAATTTCTTTTGAGTTAAGAAATTTCATTTCTTCTGCGGTAAGAACGAAGCTACAAGAAATTCGAGGGGTTACAGTAAGCACATAAACTGTGAGGAAAAGACTAAAATCGGTTGGAATAAATTCACACTTGCCTACCGGAGGCTGCCCCTTCTTGCCACATGCCATCGAGTAGTTCGAGTTGATTTTACACGAAATCACGATAATTGTAATGACAAAGCTTGGAGTCAAGTTATATTTACAGATGAGTCCAGATTTTGCCCGAAGCCAGATGATGGAGGGATTAAAGTGTGGAAACGCCCGGGAGAGAAGTACGCTCAGTGCAACATCATTGGAGAAGAGGCATATGGTGTAGGGTCAGTTATGGTATGGGAAGGTATTTGTATGAAATACGTACGTACGTACGTACGAAACTCCGCATCATTGAGAATGGGTCACTTACAGCGGCAAGATATGTAACTGAGATTTTGGACGAAATTGTAGTGTCATTTGCCCCTTTTATAAGAGATAGATTTGTTTTTATGCATGATAATGTACGCCCTCATACTGCGGCCGTATTTGTCGAATACCTTCAAGACGTTGAAATCAATGCTATGGGGTGACCAGCGCGCTCGCCCAACTTAAACCTCACAGAACATGTATAATAACATGTCTATGAGTATATTACCTTGCATGCATATATATTACTTATAACAGTTATCGCATATAGTGTCCTTAGTTGAATGGTCCCTTCAATGTCATTATAACCTGTATATATCATTATAACCTGTACATATGTATTTCAAGTGTACAGTTTACATAGGTATACATTTACGTATACATAGTAGACAGTGTAGTATAGAGAGTAGAGTTAATAATCATCATCATCATCATTACAGCCTTTCATAAGTCCACTGCTGAACATAGGCCTCCCCCAAGGAATGCCACAAAGCACGGTCCTGAGCCACCTGCATCCATCGACTTCCTGCATGTATTACCAGGTTGTCACTCCATCTAGTGGGGGGTCGCCCTACACTTCGCCTACCGGTACGAGGCTGCCACTCGAGAACCTTTCTTCCCCATCGGTTGTCGGTTCTTCGAGCTATATGGCCGGCCCACTGCCACTTCAGCTTACTAATCCATTGGGCTATGTCAGTTACTCTGGTTCTACTGCGAATATCCTCATTTCTAAGTTTATCACGCAGAGAAACCCCGAGCATAGCCCTCTCCATAGCTCGTTGAGGAACCTTGAGCTTCCTCATACGGCCAGCAGTGAAGGACCACGTCTCAGATCCGTAAGTCATCACTGGCAACACGCACTGGTTGTACAATTTCGTTTTCAGGTTTTTAGGTATATCTAACGAGAAGATGTGTCGTAGTTTCACGAACGCTGCCCAGCCGAGTTGACCTCTCGGTCGAAGTTGGACTTACCTAGTCGGACTATTTGTACCAGGTAAACATACTCGTCAACAACTTCGAGCTTAGTGCTCCCAACAATTACCGGCATAGGTGTGACATGGACATAATTAATAGAATCAGGCGTTACTTTGCGGAAATCCATTATATAAAAGCTTTTACAAAAATTATATTTATATATTATATTATAGGATATTTGCAAAGTAAATTTTTGTAAAAAAAGAAAAACTTTTGTAAAAGCTTTTATGTGACATGGACGTTAAACATGATTTTTGTTTTGTCCATCTTCATCTTAAGACCTATCCGTTGATTCTGCCGTAAGGACTATATCGTCGGCAAATCGAAGGTGAGTGATGTATTCGCCGTTGATGTTAATACCGCATCCTTTCCAATCCAGTAGCTTGAAAACGTCTTCCAATGCAGCGGTGAAGAGTTTCGGGGATATAACGTCACCCTGTCTTACACCTCTCTGCAGTTGGATAGGTTTCGTATTCTGATTCTGTAGTCGGATAGCCATCGTAGCTCTACTGTACAAACACTTCAGCACTTCGATATACCGACAGTCAACTTGGCACCGCTGAAAGGACTGCAGCACCGCCCAAATTTCGACGGAATCAAAGGCTTTCTCATAGTCCACATTCGCAAGGCAAATTGGCAGATTATACTCCTCTGTCTTCTGTACAATCTGCCGCAGGGTATATATGTGGTCCATGGTGCTAAAGCTCTTTCGGAAACCGGCTTGTTTGGGAGGCTGGAAATCGTCAAGTCTGCGTGCGAGACGATTCGTAATGACTCTAGAAAACAGCACGTAAACGCGGCTCAGAAGGGAAATCGGTCTGTAGTTCTTCAAGAGAACGTTGTCGCCTTTCTTGAAGAACAAGACCACCGGACTTCTGCTCCACGCCTCCGGAGTAGTGCCACCATAGAGGACGGAATTATAGAGCTTCTGAAGGACTTCAAGTACCGGTTTTCCACCCGCTTTCAAAAGCTCCGCTGTAATTCCATCCTCGCCCGGGGACTTGCCGTTTTTAAGGTGCTGGAGAGCCATTCTAATCTCGCTCAAACTGACGTCCGGGATATCTTCGGAATAGTGTCGGATAAGACTCACTCTTCGATCGTTACTCACACTTACGTGTGACTCCAACGATGATGTGTACTGCTGCCCATAGAACCTCTCAATCTCACTAAAAATGTCAGGTCTCCCGGAAACGATGCTGCCGCATTCGGTCTTCAGCTTCGACAGTTGGCTCTTTCTGGCAGACAGATCTCTGGCAAAGACTTTGGAGCCTTGGTTCCGCTCGATCGCTTCTTCAATACAAGCTGTATTGAAGTTGCGTCCCGCCGCATGCATTTGGAGATCTGTCTGTTCAGTTGCCTGTATGCAGGCAAGTCTGCTGAAGGCTGCAGCTTCATTTCCCGTCTAACAGCCATGAGATTAAGATTGTGATCGGAGAGTTTTTGTGTTCCTCTGCAACGGGTCTTGCAGGTCCGACCGCATGGACAGTTTCCACGAGCTTGTCATTCATATCGTCCACTTCATTGCAGTTTTCTAGGCACTGAAAACGGTTTTGTAACTCGAGCTGAAAGGTTTCGGGACT